GCTGACATTGGTTACAGAACTATTGGAAAACCTGCAGAGAGTACTGGACAGCTGTTTCGTCAGGCTAGTTTGGGACTCTTCATCAGTACGCACACACCGCAAGAATTCGAACCCAGGACCTTCTGGTTACAAGGCGAGCTCGTAGACTATTAAGTCATTGGAACCTGCCAGTCCAATGGCCAGCCCATGAATTCTAACTTCTGCCAATTCATGACATAGTACAACATAGTACTCCCAGGTTCTCCAATGGTTCTGTAACCAATGTCAGCTCATGATGAAATCCTGCATCCAATCAGTCAAATCTCTACAAACCAACACTTGAATATCGATGAGATGCTCACTGGCAACTGGCCCTATTCAGGTAGGTAGTTACCTGGGGTTCTGGTGAGAAGTCGTGACCAGTAGGATGCAGCAGGTTGGGTGTGAGGACAAATACTCGCCGAAGACATTGGCTAGCGGTTGCGCTATATTGTGAATTGGTAGAAGTTTGAATTCATGAGCCATTGGATTGGGTCCCAGTGACTTAATGGTCTACGAGCTCTCTTGCCTTGTAACCAGAAGGTCCTGGGTTCGAATCCTTGTCGTGGTTAGAGAACCATTAGAAAACCTAGGAGTACTAGTTTGAGACTCTTCATTGGTACACACCCACCGTCAGGGTTCGAACCCAGGACCAGTAATCCAATGGGATCCTATCCAGTGGTCAGTCTATGAATTCCAACTTTTGCTAATTCACGACAAATCTCGACCACTTCTTCGATGAGTAACTTCCTTCACTTTCGACATGCTGTCTCCTGTCAACTGTTGTAATAACTTGCCTGTGTTTTTTTTTAATTTACGTCTCTATTGTTCATTTTGATTGACTTGGAATTTGAACTTTCTTGTCATATGATTTAATTTTTACTAGCTGGAGTGTGTGCTAGAGTGTGTTTGAATTCTTTTAAACAACAGAAAAAGAAGAAGATAAAATTAATACCATTTACAAAATAAATTGTATGAGCTGTAACAGACTTTACATTGGTCAAAGTGGGTGTCACCTTCGAATCAGAATCCAGACACATAAATTGGCTTTGAAACGACATGATGTCTATTCTTTCATACCAATGCATGTAGATAATTATGGACACCAGTTTGATGATTGGGACAATATAGAAATTTCAAACAGAGGAAACACGAAAAACGCAGTCATGGAATTTTTAGAAGGCTGGTTGGTACTCAAGTGAATCAGTCAACGATTAACAAACGCAATATTACCAACCAAATTTACCAGCTAATAAGAAGTAAATCACACGACAAGAGAGTTCGAATTCCAGGTCAATAAAAGTGATCAATAGAGGCGTAAATTAACAAACAATCAGTCACGACAGTGGTTGTCTAACGGAAGATACAATTAAACTGTTCATGGGGAATTTAAATAAGTTGATTCCATACTAAAAACTGCTGTGAAGATGTTGTCTAGAAGGGGAACGACGAAAGCTTGGCAATTAAATCAATCAACCAGCTCCTCAGAGAAGACAGTTTATTCGAAATCATCCACCTGAGCTACAAATCTTTTCCAATATTTCAAAATAGATAAAGCAATGAAGGATATATATGATAGTTTCATTTTTCAAAACGTGGAAAATACCCATCAGGATATTAGACAGAAAAGAACAAGAAATTCAACAAACATATTACTATCGGCAATTTCATCCACGAAAGAAGTTGTACAGTCGTATTTCGTAATACACAGCTTTATATAGTAACAATTATTATTTAATTAAACATAATAACAAGGGGAAATGAAAAACGTGGTAATAATTTTTCAACATGGTAGGTTATTTTATATACGTGTCCAATTCAAAAAGCTTGTCAGTGAACACTATGCAGTATGGCTGCAAAGAGACGGTACTGGATCACTCAGAAGCGTTATAAGTGAACACCTCGTCACCACCTGTAGCAACGTCTCAAATGACTCATCATTCAGAATGATTCACAAGGGGAACAAATATCTACCAAGGACAGTGTACTACCGAGTGCTTTGTACAGCAGAAGCCCTCACCGTATAATATATATATATATATATATATATGCGTTGAAAAGCCGGAAGAATGTATTCAAAAGAAACTAACCTGACTTCAACATTTACTATGGATTTAGTTCTGTTAGACTCCTTAGTTTACGTTTGTTTATTTTCTTTTTCATTCTCTCTATTTTTTCTAACCCTAGTTATAAAAAATAATTATTATTTCATTTTGTTTCTATGCCCCTCCTATTCACATCTGCCTTCTTTAGAAGAAAAACCATTTTACATAGTACGGAAATACTTTCTAGCCCTATGCAAACTTATTTCCATATTCTTTTTATGATCTGTATTCAAACACCTTGGAAATTTCATATCAAGTTGAAAAATTATTATCACCATTTAATTTCCCTTCTTTATTGTGTTGAATTCATGTAATACTTGTTACTATGTAAACTTATGGATTACAAAATACAATTGTACAGCTGCTTTTGATGATGAAATCGCCGGAAGTAATATCTTTGCTGAACTTTTAGTTCATCTATACACACATATACCAAACTCATTTCTGACCAAGAACTCGAACTTAGGACAAAAGTGCCACTTGAGGACCTAATGCTGGGAGTACAGCTATGCCTGACTTCTACAGTATTTAAAATCCAAGAGAAAATATACAAACAAACTGAGGGAGTTGCCATGGGATCACCAATATCCCCAGTTGTAGCAGGTATATTCATGGATAGGTGGGAAAGCATAGCGATTGAAACGTTCACCCCCCACCCCAAAGGTATGGTGGAGGTATGTAGATGACACATTCACTGTACTTAGAACACAGGATATAAATAGATTTTTCGGACACATTAACTCAAAGGTGGAAGCAATTCAATTCACTTATGCTGAATTGGAAAGTCAGGAAGGAACTCAGGGAACTTCCAATGTTAGATTGTAGTGGCGTAAAAAGGAAAGAAGATGGGAAGTTTAACACTAGTGTTTACAGGAAACCCACACATTCAAACAGATATTTGGACTTCCGATCATCCCATCCTGTCAGTGAAAATAGGATTGGTGAAATGTTTAAGTGATAGAGGAAAAAAACTAAGTATTACCAAGGAAAATCTAAGACAGGAAGTGAGACATATAAGAGAAGCCTTGAAACTTAATAATTACCCTGATAAACTAGTCAGGAAGTGGTAGTGATAATAATAATAATGATAATATTAATGACGACATGCATGTCAAACATGTGCAAGACAACACCAACAATAAGGAATCTAAATCATCAGTAGTAATTCCATACAAGGAAGAAACCTCGGAAGCCTTACGCAGAATTCTTAACAAGGCAGGCAGGGACAAAAGTGGCTGGCATTCAAACCCACAAAGTCAATTAGAAACAAGCTTTGTCGGTTAAAGGATCCTGTGGAGTCTTTAAAACAAAACAATTTAGTTTATCTAATGCCCTACCTGCTGCAATGATTGTCAGGTCAAATACATAGGTCAAACTAGTCGAACAGGGGCAGTCAGACTAGCTGAACATAAAATCTAGGGAATAGTTCAGCTATAGCACTCACTACATGCAATTACACACAACCATACAATATAGGATGATGGGATAAGATGACAGTTTTAAAATCTAATGTAACAGCTGGGTGGAGTGAGGGAGAGATTGATAACAGAAGCTTTTTTTGTCGAATCAACTGCAAACACGTGTAATAGGAATGATTAAACACCTGTCCAGTCGGATATCTGGAAAATTCTACTACCCCTACGACAAACAAAGAAAACTATAAGACTCAAGTTTCGTAGTCGTGTGATTATAAATGATGAAAGGATTATGAACAATAAATTTTGTTCGAAACTTTGTCATCGAGTAAATAATACTGTTTCACTGTGTGATATATCCAATAAACAAACTAGTATGGAATTTCTTGTTCATTTATGTTTAGCATATGATAAGCACTAAAAAATGAATAATCAAGCCTTCTGGTGATTTCTGTTTTAGTATATATCGATGGTTCTTCGGCATGAATAACTTGTGTATGTGTCAGTAGGCAGTAATCGGTGTGATACGTCTAGTACTTGGCGTTGATAAATACGGGATACTATCACAGTCAAGTTTGTAATATAATCAGCAGGGCGTATTTGAAATTCAACCCAAGAACTAGACGCGTGATACTAGTTACTACCAGTCTGCTACAGTCCTACAGGAGGTGATTAGTGAACCTGAATAGCTCAGTGGTAACATCTCTGACTGCAACACTGGATTACTTCTTTTCGAATCTTATAAGGGAAATGCAGTCCTTGATGTTAACGAGTGTCAAAAAAGACGAAACCTAGTTGGATGGCATTGTTCCTATTGTCTTCATTCATCTAACAATAGGTAATATTTCATCTCTGGTTTCTATATATTAAATTATCTCGGTTAACATAGGGTTTTTAGTTCACCTTATTGATGAATTTCCGTGGCCCTAGTAAATACTGCTATAACTGCTTAATTGGATGTTAACCTCATACGTAGGTTGTCAAGTTGTTGTGGTAGAATCTAATTGAACTCAAATTAGGACAGGACTGGGAGAGTATTTAGCTCTCTACTACATAGCGAAGCCATTCATTCCATAAATTATCGCTTTAATTCATTCGCATAGATAGATCACGTGATTTTTACTGCTCTTAGCCTATCCAGCCTGTCGTCACACACTTTTTCTATTCTCCTGCCTTTCCATTCAAATCAGGTCACAGAATTTCTCTTCATTTTAATTCGTTAAAACAGACAGAAGGCTTCATTGTGAAATATGAATTTCATTGGTTAATATGCCTAATGCCTTGACAAACCAGATGCATGCATGTGTATTGATTGTCTGCAACTAAACAATGAACCAATCAAAATACAAGGTCTTTGCTATATAAGCCAAGGCCAAGGCGCGGAGTAAACGATTGATGCAGAAATAATTAAAGGTGCTGCGTGTTTAGTTGGTGAAGTCACTCCACTGCTAGGAATTTGTCCATGTCCGTTAGCCACCCATCAAAAAATGGTCTCTTATTACTCTTACAAGCAGCCAAAAAGCTGGATGAAGAAGGTAAGGAAATAAAATGGCCTAAATGGATTTTAAATCATGCAGAATCGTTACACCGCTATTCACATAATTCTGAAAAATGGGAACATCGACATTCTCAACGGAATTATGCAGAGACGAACTCATCAACCTATTCCTCTCACAACTATGGCACACAAAAACGACCTGTTACATCTGTGAGGTAAGGTACTGGTTTGAAACATTCATAATATTTATTATATAGATGCACTCATAATGAACTTGAAAAGAGTCGGTAAGTTTCGTGAATACAGTGTAAGTCAAGCATTCGATTTAGTCGTGCCCATCTTCGTACATGTATGGAAACGCTAAAAGAGCGTTTGAATTTCGATAATGACGTCCCAAGGATAACTATGTTAACGGTACTTAAGAAGGCGACGGCTACAATACAGGTAGGTACTGTTCAAAGTTTCTTGCAATACAATTTTACAATATATTATAAGTTAGATATTAGTCACCTAGATTTAATATGTTTGATAAAATGTATATTTGTTACTTTATTTTAATTCGTAGCTCTTGAAGCAGAAGAAACAATGCCTAGAAAGTTATGAGGATAGTGAAAAACAGAGATGCGCCCAGTTGCTGAAGCGACGTCAAGCACTTCGAAAGAAGTTGGAAGAAAAACGTAGCCGATCACTGAAATTGCAGAATTGGAAAGAACGAAACCGCAATTGTTCAGAATGTTCTATTGCAACTACATCTTCAGGTAAATATATTTTTCAGTGGATATTTTTTAAAATTATCTGTTCGAACCTAACACGTGTGTTTCCTTTATTGCAGATGATTCTGAAATGGATTTACGATCGGGTACTGGGTCAACTCCACCTACACAATCGCTTAATAATGGCATACAACTACCTAATACGGCAGCAGCGGGAATCAATACATGTACAAATGATCCAAATTATATTATACAATTGTCTAAACATAGAAGTCTCAGCTCACCAACAGGTACTATGAGCAGTTCACCTGTTGGTTTGGATGCTTTTGATGCTAGTAGCTCTGATTCAGGATTTGAGGAAATTACTATTACCTCAAGTGGCATAATGTCTCCAAATGATAACTCAATGGCCTATTGCATCAACGATAGATCTCAATGTGTTACAGCATATCCAAACAAGGTGTGCAGGGCCTGCTAGAGAGATATGTTTGATTTTTAGCCAATTATGTTGTTATCCCTTTCCATCGACTGTTTTGTTGTTCATTCTATACAGAATATTTTTCATTTGCGTGCATCATAGTCAATGCTGCGAATTGGACATTTTGACGGCTTTCAATCACATTGTGCCAATCAAATTCCTTACACAATGTTTACATTTAGTGCAGTTTATTTATATATATGCTCAATTTCATCGTCGTTTGGAATCTTCGCCTTGTTGAAAGCATCATGGAGCAACTAATTTGTAGCAGTTCGACTTTCATCTTTATATCATCGTCATCCATATTCTGAATTATATTTACATTTCAACTGTCGGTAAGTAGTTACTATCGCTGGTCATGTCAATTAGTGACAGCGGGTTTTTAGAAGCCATTGAGTAGTATGTAACTGATATCTAGGGATTGTTTTCATATTTGTGCCGACGTATTAGTTTTAACGCACATTCCCTTTTGAAAACGTTTCTAATTATTCTGATCCTTCCCATCGTTGGTGCGTAATGCAATCTGTGATTCTGCTCTATTTTGCATTTTACTGAATAATATTCAAGATCACTCAGCTCTGTGCTGTATCTTGCAGATTTCGCACTGAATTGCTTAATATATATTTCCTTGTTTATCAAATTAAATGTGTCTGTAGTTGTGTATTCCTCAAAATGTAATCATCTCTCGTAAAAATTTCTGTATGGATGCCGGTTATGTCTTTCAAGAGTGAGTCAGTATGCTTCTGAATCTCGCACTACACAATGGTAACCTTATTGAAACATCAATGTCTGTGTTCTGTTTATTGCGTGTTTATTACCCTGCTCACCAGTTATGTGCAATTTTGGCAGCGGCTTGTTTAACATGTTTCGTGAGCATATTGTTATGCTACTATGAACTCTGTATAGTGTTTTTGCAAAAGGGGTATACATGCTTTTAATAATAATAATACTAATAATTAATAATAATATTTTGATCATCTGTTTGCTGTAGATGCTTTCTGCATCTACATTATATTTTTAGTGATTTTGTCCATCTTATAACGGCAGCAAGATTTGCTAGCTGTGATTGTATGTACATTTGGTGTTCACAAAACAAAAAAGCATTAACTGTTGCGTGGTATTTAAGTGACAATTTTCCAAATTCTGATTAATCTGTTTGTATATAGGTTGAATCTTTCCTCCATTACAAGCGTTATTTCAAAATATCCCCTAAAGGGCAGCTGTTTTATTGTAAACTAAGTTTACTCCCTTTGAAAGGCAATCTGCCATGTTCATACCCTTATTTGCTTGTAATAATATATTCACCCCTTTTAAATTGTCTTTATATTGTCTGCTTCAGAAGCTGTGTTCCATTTATGACTCGTTTGATTGGGTCACTTATCAAATGATCTCGTTCAAACCAACGATTCTGTCTTTTTTGTCTTCTTCCTTACTAGTAGGATTGTGTTCATAAGTTTCTCAGAAAGCGGTCGTGGTTGGTAGTAGCTCTTGAAAGTTGTCACAGGTAATTATGTCGATACATGCAAGTGAAGTCCGAACATTTCTAGAATCCAGTATTACTGAATGTTAAGGAAAAAAACGGGCCTGGATCATTGTAACTCTTCCTTCCGATAAAAGCGTGTGTATATTTTTAGGATCATTTTCAAAATAGTACATCACTTCGATACAGTTGATTTGTGGTTAATGCCGTGTCATATACTATAGCTTGCGAGAATGTTATCAGAGTTCATTTAGAGACAGTAGACCTCATTTTGCAGTTCAGTTACCTTTTTCTGTCTCGGAATATAATCGCGTGTAGAGTTCGCTTTATGCTAAAAAGATGTGACAGATTTCCGTAAGCACCCCAGGCACATTAAATGACCTTTGGAATTTCCGAAGGTAGTCTATTTCAAACCTCTCAGATTGTACCATAAATCTTGGCATATTTAAACTGGTACGCATCTCCTAGGAACTAACGTGGATTACTGTCATTTCAATGAGAACTTCGTCGAGTGGAACACGAGGCTATTTTGCGATTCTATATATGTTTTCCTTCCTAAGTGACAATTCTCAAGGGTATTTTAGTTAACTGCGATTCATATGCTCCAAAAGATAATCTCTACGAAACTTAACGTGCTTTGTCTTCATAGAATATAAAGTCACCGGGTTATGCGCTTACGCCTGGGAGACTTCATTTTCTATCCCAGCACCTTACCGGAGAAAGCAACCCATTTACTTAGCCTATTGGCTTTCATCGAAAAGCTTTTTTAAAATATATCTACGACTGTAATATACTACAACTTGTTAAGAATAATACGAACTCTGACGTTTATCTTCGTAAAACTTATCTAAGGCGTAGTAAGCCCCAATTCGAATCACGGTTGCTAGTCATAATAGGTTATTATAGATATTTCCTTTCTGTTTGCCGTAATTATTGCATCCCAGTATTCACATACATTTTTTTTGTATTTCACTGCGTTTATCTTCACATTCGAAAACCAAGGGTACTGGACAGTTAGATGATGGTCATTCCCCTCTTTAGGTTTTTAATAGTTTATAAATTGAAGTGTAAGAAGATGTGGATTTACTTTATGTTGCACTTATGAATACACTATAATGCGTGAGCTATTTTACTATATTCTGTTTTATTCCCGTCGTACTGAACAGTGTTATTCTGAGTAAAGTTGATTATAATAACGGGTATTATTGAAAAGTTTAAGATGAGACTGACTGTTAATCGTTGACACTGTAATAGTTAAGCTCATAAACAAGATTGGGGCATATTAAACTGGATTCTCTAAACGATTAGTGCTAAGCATGTGTGTATAACATATATAACATTCATTCCCACGACTCAAAACTTTCCTTCACCTTGTTTTGTGAATAGCCTCTTTCAAATCTTCATTCAGCTCTGTAATGAATATTATCTTTTTTGGAGAGTTTCTACCTAGCACCTCTGGTAACTAAACTCTTAGCCAAAGAACATAAGATTAACGTCTTGGAAATTAACTATTGGAATTTGGGTTATGTGTTTAGTTTGAGAATTGTTTCACAATGGGCTAAATTGTCTTCTACGAAGTGGGGAATGTGATAAAATTATTTAGATGCTGAGATTGTATGCAGTGAAATACAGGTCCACTTAGTTCTAACACCACTACATGATGCCGCCTTACTAGCACTTTGGTGATTGGATTTCAGCTAGTTTATATATTAGGAATTGACTACTACTCAGTTTATTTCTGTCTAGTAAACTGGATAGACAATATCATCATGTGGCTCATGTGCATACGCTTTTTCCATACTTGTTCACCAAGGTATGTTTTGTATCATGATGTTTTATCAAAAATATGTTTCGCTGTTAGATGACCCATTACGTGTGACTATATGACCTCGAACACTTATTAAGCTTTAAAAGAATGTATTCGGTTAAGATTTTTCACATTCATTGACCCTTTGTGTGTGAACCTTGAATAGAATACTTGGATGTTAAATAAGAATTGATGAGCTGAAAATGCTGACAAAAAATCTTACTATATTATTCAGCTTACACAACCAATCGAGTATTGTTTCCATGTATTTACTGGACATTGTTAGTATTGGCCATGTTCTGGCTGGTTTACGATTTGTGAACAACACACATGGTATCTTTAAGTCTTTCTGTCTGGCTTCAACATAGAACTTGGCACCGAAGTGCAGCAGTTCGAGTTGCCACGTTCCAAATAGCACACAAAGGTAGACAAGAAGATGAGTGAAGAGAATCAATAGAGTTTTGACAAGTATAAGAGTGAAACAGAATGAGTAATGGTAGAAAGGAAGATGAAAGATTACAGAGACTGAATACATCTGCGTAAGCCATTGGCAACGATTTTGAGCCATGTCACCTATTGTCTCCAGCCATTGATTCTTAGAGTCCCGAGGGCCCCAACGCGGAAGTCTGCATCTCCCTACCTGACTCAGTTTAACTGTCAGGGATTTCATGGATTGATGGGGCCATGTTTTTGTTTGGCCACCACTTACTCTTTTCCAACCTGCACCTATATCAGCTAGTAATGCCCGTCGGGGTAGGCGATGGTTAGGCATGCGCAGCACGTGACCTAACCATCTCAATCCATGTAACTTTATAGTCTCGTCGATTGATTTTTCCTCTTTGCCCAACACTCTGTATTTAAGTCTTTAGGAAAACTAAGTTAGTAGGTGGCGGTAGGCTGTTTGAATGACTTCGAACTGATTTTCACTTGGCTTCAATGAGAGATAATGTCCATGATTATTGTCGTTTAACCATCCATTCTGATAGACCTAAGCTTTAGCCATACTGCTTTCTGATTAACATCTGGTGGCCAGAAGACTGTTTTTAACACCATCCCAACCAGTGAAGGGGGAGAGTGTAACACTCATTTCGGGGCAAAGGTGGTATTTACTTAATGATGATTTGAAGAGAGTGTAGAGACAGGCGACACGCACACTACAATGGAGTCACCAAACTGTTTTCCCTTGGAAATACATTTATCCACTATGCGTTTTGATCCACAGAGATGAGGCTGAAATGATGACTTGACTAACTTCTTTGATCCCTTACAAGTCTTTCCACATTTATTTCTAGATTGCTGACTAACTATTTTTGCTAGTAGTTTACAGAGCCTGTAGATTATGCGACTTGTTTTTTTTAAATTCAAAGTGTTACAAACCCTTATGTAAGATATTGACTACCCACCTATTCTGTTGCTTATTTGTATGGCAAACGAGGTGTATAGGTACGCAGTGATTTAAGAGCAATAAGGTTGTGATAAATGGTGATAAAATGAATACAACTCACTGAGAATTAACGAAGAAAACCAGTAGTGCAACTGAATTATTGCTGTCCAAATGTCAGTATACAATGCTACACAGCCCCTTGAACCAGTAATGTTAAGTGAAGTGTGTTTTTCATTTCTACCACATAGATTCACTGTTCTGATGACAACCAATAGGTGTGGAAGTGTTTAGATACTTCACAATGACATATGGTTTTAAGTTTACGTGGGCATACTTCGAGAGAATGCACAGAAATTTAATAATAATAGTAATAATACAAAGGTGTCAAGCATGATTTTGTATACGACAGAATGATTTAACGATGACTAAGGGTATTTTCGTGGGTTTTTTCCAAAAATGATAGTGATAGGTGTGATTACATCTACACTAATAGTGAACTAATTTGTTGATGAACTTTTTGAGAGTCCTAGGTTGAAAAAGTAATCTATAGAGTTTGTCTTAGATTAACAGTCATTAGCTTTATAGAATTGTGTGGTACTTTCACCTGATCAGTGTGTCTTAATTTCCAGTTAATGACTTTGCTAATCGAGGAATAAGGCTGTAGTTTGACACATGCACACCACAAACTCTAGTTTTATCATCTGAGTGAAACTGCAAACCGACTACTCCTGTTGTGTCCTAGTAATTACTGTGTTGGCTGATTTCAGAATTGTAGTTCGAGGTTTATAGCTCTTAAAACTCGTTAGGAATCCTGCATGAACATAACATGATAACGTGCCAAATAATGCGGTTGCTTTATATAGCGAACCTTCAGAGTTAAACGAGTCAACTTAAACAATCAAAGTCAGAAGCATCCACTGTGTTTGAGTGATGAATGCTGTGGGTTAAATTATTCTCGGGGGTAGGTGGGTGGGGAATTTTTTTAAAACTTCTACAATTGTTTACCATCCATTGTTGTGATAAATCATTGACGAAATTTTTCATACGCATAATATTGTGTTACTTATTATGACTGCCGACATCGTTTTCAGAAGACTTAGGATATTCTAACGACATAGAACAACCCCCCCCCCCGCCTACCCAATGTGTGTTACTCCTGACAAATAGAGTTATTTAAGTTTTCAGCACGACAAAGTAAAAAAAGGAAGGACATAGACCAAAATGCTTTAGCTTACCTTAAGACACCCCATAAGAGGGGAGATAAATTGGCTTAAACAGTGACAATATAGTCAAGACAATGATATTATAAGGTACTTTTATAGTCATTTATGGCTCTTCATTGTAGTCTAGGGGTTTGAATATATTATAGATGTCAGTGATCTTGTGGTCCTCACACTACCCCTCCCCGCCCCAACCACCACCAATTATGACGCTGTGTTCATAGTTTTGAAAATTGTTGCTACGTTTTGGTGTTAACCAGTCTTTACTTCCTGACAAATTAATTCGTGGAATATAGTTGTATCTAACACCGAAATCAATACTGTTTATTGACATATTATACTCTTACCAACCAAATAGGTATGTAGGTATACAAGAGTAAGTTATAAGTCAATCAGAAGATTACATTGCTCTGATTTTATTATAAGAAGTATACATTAGTTATACAATGTATAACATTTGTTAATCTCATACGATTGAATCAATGCAGGGAACTATTACTCTGTAGTATTTAAAGGTAATTCAAAAGTTCTATAATGAGTAGAAATGTGCGGGAGAGGAGGAGATTTGACGTAAATGGGGGTGGGGTGGGAAGAATTTTGAACCATATCACCAATAGGCTCATGTTATTGGTTCACACCATTACAAGGATCCCAACTAGGTAGGTACAGGTAGTCTAAATCTGCATATCTGGCTGAATCTAGCTAACTTTCAAGGATTGATGACAGGTTTTGGTTTCACTAAGTCTACTAACACTTTTCTAACCCCCAACACTATATCAGTCAGCTAACATTCTTCGTCGAAGAAGGGTAGGAGTGGCTGGGAATTCGGGGCACATGTTCTAGACATATCAATCAATATAATCTGCATAGTCTCATCGATGGACTTCCCTTACTTTACCTAACACTACACCTAATCTCAATTATACTCACCATATTAAATTATTTAACATGTGAGATTGAAGGCAACCCTTTGTGGTCAAAGACAACTAGCTAGTCTCTTCAGGTGTCTTTCACTTTCTATGACTATGTCTCACTTATAACCATAAAGGAGGACGGAGAGAACTGCTGTGCAGTACACACACACGCACGCTCATCCCTTAATCGATAGCTAGATATCATAGTTTAACGCGTCCACCTTGCTGAAAGTGGTTGGAGATAGAACTGTTTGAACTGATTATGACTTTCCTGAAGACTCCATGTTTGCATTTTTGTGAAGAAGTATCTATAAGGACTAAATGTAATGGACTGCTCAATCCCATAATCAATTTATATCAAACAAAGTGTGCTGTAAGCTAGTACAACTTATATAACTTATTTATATCAAGGGCTGGTTTGCAGGGATATGATTGGTGACACCGAAAAACCTGAGAGTTACTGGACAGCTATTTCATCCCCTAGTTTGGGACTCTTCACAGTACACACCCGTCTCCAGGTTTTCGCTCTCAGGACATTCCTGTTTTAAGGCGACCTCGTAGACCATTCGGCACCAAAACAGTAGAACATATTGCCCAACAAATATGCAGAAAATGAAATGGAAAGATCGTTAATGTGACATCACACACACGGCAGACCCCAGGGTATTATTTGATGAACTAGAGGCAATCAGAAGGAAATCTTCACAACCTAGGTTTCCTGGGGCGTATCTATGATCTTGGAGGAATTCATGTCCTTTCTTCAAAGATTCGAATCCGTGTCACTTAGTGCTACAGTCAGAGACATTACCACTAAGCTATTCACCCCGTGATTCATCTCCTGTAGGACTGTCGAATCGTGTATAGTGATGGTGAACCACTTAGCATGGTGTGTGGCGGCCTAAAAACATATCAAATTATATGTTCACGAAAAAAAGAAGGAATTCAACCTTAAACCTTGAACCGCGCGCAAGAAACGAATCGTTCGCCCTCTCTCCGGCTGCTCGCCCAGCACATCTGCTGACCATCGCTGTCTCGCACTGGTTGACACATCCCCGTCAAGAACTTTGCTCCTATCTGCCTTACTCTACGTGGAGACTTCCGACGGTTGACAGCGCTAAGTTGTAGTGGAGAATTTGTATAATCAAGAGAAGGACAATTACATTCCTATAATTTCGTACGTCTATAATTTGTGTATTTTGTGACTGTTATAGTTTTCTTCAAATAACCTCAGTCCGTTTTTGTGTATATTAACTTAAGTGAACTGAATATTTTATATATACGTATTTGTTAGTACTTGTTCTGTCCTTTTAATTGCGTTTATATACTTACCTAGCTACTAGGTCCACTACAGGTGGCCACATTCCATATTTGACCGATAGGCTCTAGTAGGCACCAAACAAAGTAGGGGAACGTCGATGGAAAAAGATGGTTTGTTTGCGTGTCAGAATGTAATGTGAAGGAGTGTAGTGACCTATTTTATTACTCGTCATCGTAGTATACTTTCACTATGTAATTGGACTTTGATTTGTTTATCACTCTAAAGATTGCGTGTTAACAATTGATACATTATGTACTCGCTCAACTTTTGAATTTTGATTACGGTGATAATACACGTTCATTATACTCCTTCTCAAGTGCCTTTTGATCTACGTTATGGATGTCGAGTAATCACAACGTCAGGACACAATAATAAACGCGAAGAAGCACTAGGATATACGTGTACGCTAGTTTGGTCAAAAATAGAGCACCACAACAGGAGATCTTGTAAAGAAAAGGAGATATGAACGCATAGGTAATGTCAGAGCCAGTTAAGAAGGACTTGGGAACAGGGTAATATGAAGATGTGTTATTTTCCACTCGTAGCCCAAGGGAATAATAATAATAGTACCACGGTGATGAGGTAATCTAATAAGGAGTTGCCCTGCTGATTGCAATGAAATGATGATGTGATTAACTGGTGAATTATCGATCGAAATTCATTCAACTTATGTATATTTTCCTCTTCTTTACCTATTTCCCTGCTTATGTCTAAATCAGCTATAATCCAAGTTTTTCATAATGCGTCTTTCTTTGTTTTATCCATCAATGAAATGCAATAATGTGAACACACATAATACTAATAATAAAGAACTTGTTGTGTCTACTTAATATTTAGTTAGTTCCTTATAATCCCTTTGTTCATTCGATTTGACCTTTGAACTCTATGATACATTTATTTTTTTTCGCGGAGAGGGATTAATCATAACAGATGGATGGATGAATGAATATATAAATAAATAAATAAATGATGTGACAGTGAGTTGGATTGGAATGGAATAGGATGAACAACACAATGGAACAAAGCATCATATATATACATATGTATGTATGGATAATTTTCTTTCCCCTCTGTCTGTCTTCTACAATATATAATCCATTGTGTTCTTTTCTTTAGATCTTTTTATTAAGGTAACCTGTGTGTTTATGTTTAATCACAGACAGATGAACATCAATTAGAGGATCACTACTAGTAAGCAGTACTGGACAGAGGTTTCGTCCTAGTTTCGAACTCTTCAGCAGTACCTTACCCACCACCAGGGTTCGAACCCAGAACTTTACGGTCGTAAAGCAAACTCGTAGACCATTCAAATCAATGGGACTTCACTCAATAGCCAGCCAATGAATTCCACCTTCAATCTCTCCAACTTTCGTGGTCTTGTAGTGTACATTGGACTTTTCAACTTTCGTTTCAACGCACTCACCCACTTTTGGCGCTACTTCATCTTTTGATTTGTGACTCTCCTGTACATACTTGGTTCGCTCTCTCGTTGTGCTTTCATTCAGAGCACTCTTTGAGCCTACCACCAGTCAAGGCAGCAGATAAGTTGTATAACACCTTTATCTATTAAATTTGATATTTGATTTGTGCAAAATACAACTCCGTCCCAGACATACTTCCCATCTCAAGTCTTTTTACTTTGATTTTGTTTGTTAGTACTTGCACCTTAGATAGAGTACTGCTAAGGTTATAAAGCAGTGAAGTTTTTAGTAAGTGTGGTTATCTTGAGGTCTACCTTAAGTCTAGTCTAACATTTACAGTCTTAATCGCTCTATGCTAAAGTATGGTAATCCCTAATCATATATATATATATTCTCTAACTGATGTCAACTTGTGGTCAGACGTGTAGCCAATCAGATCACTGCAAACCAACACTTGACTAGTAGATTTCGAACTCAAGACCTTCAGGTTACTACTAGGCAAGTCCACTGATCTCATTCACAACCACTGGGATTGAATCGAATGGTATATTAATTCTTGATTTATAGAGTCACAGTCCACCGGTGAGTGAGTACCTTTCCTCACAGTCGACTTGGTCACAGCTTCTGACCTAATATCTTTAGACAATTTCATCTTGTAATCAGACATTAAATGAGCATTAGATTCGTTTTAAAGTGTTGAATGCATCACATGCATTCATGGTATAATACCAGTTACAGTCAGCAGTGAGACAGACGTATTGTATATAAGAGGGTAAGTGATACTACTACAAGGTTATCGAAATCTCAGTAGGTGGGAAGACGAGATTCAAATTTTCGATGCTATGATTAATTAGTTATTAACTGTATTATTTATTATTATTATTATAATTGTTCCTATGGGTCGCATCATCCTGGAGAGAATAAAGGACGCACTGGATACAGAACTCCGACCAGAACAAGCAGGATTCAGGAAATGCAAATCATGTTCTGGTCAAATTGCAACTCTGCGCATCATCATCGAACAAAGCATCAAATGGCAATAAAACCTCTACCTCAACTTTATAGACTTTTAGAAGGCCTTCGACAGCGTTGACCACGAAGTAATTTGGAAACTACTCAAGTACTACGGCGTACCCCAAATATTCATCAACCTTATTCAACAGCTGTACGACAACGGCACATATCAAGTGATCCACAACAGAAAACTCTGCAAGGCGTTTTGATTAAACTCAGGAGTCAGACAAGGGTGCTTATTATCACTAATTATATTCCTAATTGTGGTGGACTGGATTATGTGTCAGACAGTGGGAAACGAGAAGACAGGGATATCCTGGACCGACGTGAAGAACCTAGAAGACCTGGATTTCGCCCGTGGATGACTTATGTTTGATGTCACACAAAATCGAAGACTTACAAGCGAAAACCGACAAACTGGTCGAAGAAGCAGCCAGAGAAGACAAGACTCCAGGTGAACATAGACAAGATGGAGGTTATGAAAATAACCAACCAACCAACAACAACAGCAGCAACATCCACCGCCAATCACCATCAACAGGAGGGATTTGAAAGAGGTTACTTCATTCACTTGTCTAGGGAGCATTGTCTCAACTACAGCAGGAACGGACGAGGATGTCAAATCGACAATCGGGAAGGCCACACAAGAGCATCTGCCCAGCACGCAATATCATTTGATAGCCTCCTTAGTAGCGTATACCCAATCCATCTCCATTCCTTTATGTATATTTGTTGTGCAATACGTCCTTAGTTGGTCCGCTCCCAGTGTTCTCTGTTGCAATTTTCTTCGTGGTTGATCATTTGATCCTTATGATGCACTTGCCAAGTTTCTTACCCATATAGAAGAACTGACAGCCGCTTGCAGTAGATTGCTCGCCTGAATTCAGAGTGATGAAGGTTTTTTATTTGTTGTTGACGTTATGTGCCTGGTTTGACATCGATTTTTTTGCCACTGTGTATATTTGAAATGATGCTGCCTAGATAATCGAAGGAAGTGACATCTTTCAAATTTCTACCGTTCTGCCTTCTCTCTCTCTCTCCGTGTCCACTTGAAGTTCTGTATCTCCTAAACAGCCTTTGGGGGTAATTTTAGGATAAATTGTATTGAAAAGTAATTGACAAAATGGAAAGATCGATATATATGTGTATATCGTATTTCGACTAGTCCAACATTGTCCGAAAGGGCTGGTATAATTAGGTGTGACTATTATTATTGTTATTATTATTATTACTATTAATAGTGGACGCAACAACAATAACAAAAGAGAATGGTGAATAAGACACTGACTGAACACGATTGAACAGGTTTATTATGCATATGCCTATTACACTATTCTACACTTCATTCTGTCTGTTTTCTCATCACTAAGTTTTTATTGATAAATCTATATACAAATGATTTTTTTCGATGAGTCGAGTTACATTTTTATTTCACTAAATATTCTTGACACTTACAACATTTGTCATGCACAATAGTTTTTTAATTATTGGTTTTAGAAATCACAATAATGTGTTTATATGTGGAGTGTGGACCGGAAATTTCTGGTTCATGCAACCAGACCAGACTGGCCGAAATCCTGGTCCCCCTGTCTCTCTCTCTATCTGCCCTGATTCCAAACCTATGGTATCCATGATCTCCAGAATTTGAAAGGATTTATTAGTGGTATATGAACCTGTTATTCTGGTCACCGAGATTCATGAGAATGTAGCTACTGATGTCTTGCTTCACTTCCTTGTCGACTAGACTTCAAGTCAGAGACTTCTCGTCTGTGGGAGGGGGTGTGTGCTAATCCCTTAAGACAGCCACCTGCTTCGGTCTGGATATCCGTGCAGTATTTCCCAAGTCTTGATGCGTATAATATAACAAGTTAGTGTTCTAGTAAATGAAAAAAATATCTGGGCAGAGTAGGATACTTTGATTGGACACTAGTCAGTAACTAGTGTGATGTGGTCTGGCCAGTCCTTTCTTTGGTGCAGACTGAATTCTATCAGTCAGGTTTGCAATGCCACTAGGTGCCTCGACATCACGGTGCACGTTGGTTTGATGATATTAGATATTTGGAGGCTATCGACAGGAAGTCTTGCAACTAGGTTTCGTGCTAGTTGGCACTCATCAGCAAGGCGTATCTGCAACCTTGAAGGAACTCATGTCGCTTCTGAGATTCGAACCCGCATCACCCAGTGACGCAGTCAGAGGCATTACCACTGAGCTGTTCAGGTTTGCGATTGACCTCCTGTAGGACTGTAGTGGATATTTTGATTGGACACTAGTAACCAGTGTGACGTGTCTAGTCCTTTCTTTGGTGCAGACTGAATTCTATCAGTCAGATTTGCAATGTGGCCACCATGGCACTAGGTAGGTCGCCATCCATCAACGGGTGCACATTGATTTGGAGGCAATTGGGCACAGGAAGCCTTGCTTGACCTAGGTTTCGTGCTAGTTGGCACTCGCCAGTCAGCAAGGCGTAGGATAATCCAGTGAGAATGTATTGTATGCTTAGAGGAGACCATCTCAGAAGTCATTAAGTTGACAGACTGTTTTTATGATGTAATCGGTGACATGGAAGTCTGTGTCTCGAACCAATCTTCAAACCAGTCATATTCATATTAATAACTAGTCCAATGCACTAACCAGTTCGTCATTATCATTTAGCCTGGATTCAGTCATATAGAAGAAGAGGTGTTCAGTGAAGAGTTCCTCCCTTCTTCAAATGATTCACAACGGAAAACTCAGCGATGTCCTTGAAGTGAACGCATAACTAAGACAAGGTTGTCTTTACTACTACTATTGTCTTTACCAATGATACTCCCAATTATGTCTGACTGGATCATACAGGAGGCTGTGAGAAACGAGAAAACGGACACATGTTGGGCAAGACTTCCATCAACACCTGCTTTTACTTCGTACTGAAGACCAGATGGTCAGCTAGGCAGAAAACATAAGCAACAAGGAATTCTGCAGTGCAGCCAATCAATCAACAACCTGTTCCGCAAGAAATAAGCAGAAAGAAGTGGGGATGAATTGGACACAATCTGGAGGGATATCACTCGCCATACTGGTCGTCGAGTGGAACCCAAATGGAATCCGAGGTTAGAATGGAGGAGATTGTATGTGAGGATGAGATGAAAGCTTAAAGAGAGTTGGAAAGTAGGCCGGCGATGTGCTGTTGAAGCCCTTTGTTCTACTTGAAGCTTAAAGGATACCATTTACTTAATACTACTATTATTATTCCCTTGAGTTCCGAGTAGAATGTAGTAGGGCTTCAAGAACACATCTCCACTTTCTTCTATTTTCTGCCATCCTCTTCAACTGGGTTCACGATTACCCATAATTTCTAATCTCCTCCTACTCGGCACACGATCTCCTCCATGTCACCCTAGGAACACCCACTGGTTGCTTCCGTTTAGGATTCCACTAGAGTGATGGCCTGCGTTGCGCGCGATGTCATCCTAGGGTCTCTTCAGTATATGCCGAATCCATCTCCATTTTCTCCTGCATGTTTGTTGAGCGATCGGCGCTTGCTCGGTTGGTTTGTTTCCAGTCAGAGTTTCTTGTTGCTAATTCTTCCCTGTTGGCCATTTGATCTTCAGTATGATGCAGCCATCAAATATGGGGGCAGTTGTTGACAAAAGTCTGCCGCTAGCTGTTGGAAATGCTTTTCGTGACTCACACGTAGTGAAAGTTTCTCACTCGTATAGAAGGACTGACTTGACATTGGTGTTGAACAGAATTCGAATCTTGTTCCTTATGCTGAGGCGGAGTGCAGTGCAGAAGATTTCCAAATTGGTTTCAGGTTGATGAACGCGTGCGTATCTTGCCTTTCCAGCTCTGGATAGCTGGTTTTGACGTCTTCATCCGTTCCACATGTAGTTGAAACGATGCTTCCTAGATAAGTGAGGGAGGTGACCTTTGTTAAACCTACCCCGTTGATGGTGATTGGTTCTGGTTTTTTGTTGTTATTGTTGTTGCTCTTCGTTGGTTATCTTCATCACCTCCGTCTTCTCTATGCTCACTTGAAGTTCTGT